AGCCATGGATCTTCATGCCTCAGAAAGAGAGAGAAAGAGAGGCTTTTTAGTCAAAGGAAAGAAGCAATTCCTTAGGCCTGAAATTAGGTGCTTTGTCAGGGCTGATGTCACTGAAATTTGAAGCAAGTTGATGTTAAAATGTGATCTGAGATGTTCTAAGGTACATTCTACGTGCATAATATGATACGGTATTGAGAAAAGGCTGAAAATGTTGAGTCCTGGGAAAAAATGAGTTACCTTCCATAAGAGGTAAATCCTAATGTATTTTGTTTAATAACTAAGGAAGTTCTAACCCCCTTAAGAGTGTTTCATTATCTTTAGAATAATTTACTTCATGGACAGAGCCAGTCATTTGTAGATTTAATTAATGAGTTAATACATATAAGGTTCTTAGATCAGTGGCTGTACATGATTAATAGATATAAGCAAGCAAATATTATTTAGTAATGCAGTTATAGCAGTGATATTTGGGTTCAAAAAAGTCACTCCTGAGAATGTCAAACTCATTTTTTACTTTAAACTTATACTACATATCTATCATGTGAAAGTTATTCATCATTGGCCCATATAAACAATAATTCTAAGAATGAGACTCTCTGCCTGGTACCTTTCATATTGCCTAAACTCAGAACCACAGACACTTCATGATCTTTCATTAAGTTTGCTTTCAGTCATAAAATGCTTTTCAATTAAAGAGTAAGCTGTGCAATCACCCCAGGAAGGCACATTTAGGATATGAAGACATGATTGAGAAAAGTACAAATGAATGCAATTTCAAAAACTACTGAAAAACTATATTGTTATCCTTACTGAATATACTTGATGGATTCAATTTAAAAATAAATATTCCTTTTCCATGGATTGAGTAGTGGTTAAGCCTGAGAACTCTGAAATTAGACTCACCTGGGTCCAAATCCTAACTCTTCCACTCATTGGTCATGTGACCTTTGGCTAGTTACTTGATTACAAAGTGCCTCAGTTTTCCCCTCTCTCAATAGCAGAAAATAACACTGCCTACTAGTGGATGATGACAGCGACTAAATGAGACAATACATATAAAGCTAGTACTTAGCACATACCATGTACCTAGTAAGTGCTTATTCATTATTATTATTTCCAAAGAATATCCCACAAGTTAGTGGTACCAACCACTTCCAACGCGTGTGCGTGTGTGTGGAGGGAGGTGTATAAATTATACAGGGCTGATTTTAGAAGAATTTGACCCAAAGTTTTCTAGAATCCTATTTTTAAGTCCTCAATGACACCACCCTCTCCTCTGGCACAAATTCTTCTGCCTTTTTAGGGTCAAGACTACATTTGACCACATTACCTCTTGGGCAACTTCCTGCTCACACGACTTTTTCTAGGGAAGGTTTCCCTAGCATTTTTATTGGCATAGAGTCAAGGATTTCAAAACTGTTGCTAAAGGTGGGTTTTATCTTGCAGCTATTAATTCAGAAAGTGGTAATGGTTGCAACAATGTTAACAGCTGAAACTTAAAACAACCATGTTTCCTGTTAGCTCAGGATCTTTCCCACAAAGCTCAGAAAAGGTCTGGGGAGCAGATGTGCATGGAGTGGGTAGAGAATGCTGAGTAAAATCCTGCTGGTGGTTTTGGTTTAGAATTTAGATTTTACTTTCACTATTACTGGGCAGGATCAACTGACATCACAAAACAAAACAAGCACAGCAGGTTGGTCTTAAAGAATAAGCCCAGCATTGAAAAATCAAGGTTTAAGCAGATACATGTTCATAATACATAATTTTAGTATAAACTACGAGCAAAAGGGTTCAGGTTTTAGAGCCTGCAGTTTAATACAAATTATAGTGAAAGTCAGAACCAGTACAAGAAATTAAAACATTTTTAAACTTGTTCTTTCAAAATTTAATGCCAGGCTCTCTGCTAGGTGTTGATGTAGAGATGAATATACAGTAGAGAAGCAAAACATAAAGAAATAAATTGCAGGACACCAGTTAAGTTCTGAAACAGAGGTTCAAAAATAAGTGCTGTGGGAGCACAAGGAAGAGAGAATTACACTTGGCTGGAGCCTGCAGAGCTCCACAGAGAAGGCGGCTTTTGAAATGTGCCTTTAAGGAATGATACAGTCCAGCCTGCTTTTTCTTGTAGCTAACAAGACAATGTAATATAATCACCATTTCCATACAATCCACCAGAGCGATTGCAGATATTCTAAGCCTCACTAGAACCTTAAAAAGACGGTATTGCTATTCTAAGAGACAGATGGGGAATCTGGGGTTCAAAGATTATGAAGCTCAGGGTCACATAGCTGGTTAGTGGTGGACACAGGATTTGAGCCCAGATCTACATCATTCCACATTTCTTATCATGGTCATGCATTGCTCAGGAAGGTCTACTTCTGCTCCCTATTTGTCAACCAGTACATAGTTAACTTCTGTGTGGAGTCGAAGTATGGAAACTCACTCTGGAAGCCCATTTGGAATGTCAAATTTTGGCCTAAAGAATTGGGTATTCAGTGAAAGATCAAGATGGTGGCTCTGGCCCACAGTTCCCTCTCCTTTCTCTGAACTCCAACCACATTTAGTTAAAAATGGTTTATTTTGACTTATATGCATGCCAGATTCCCTCTCATGCTCTGTGAACACCTTGAAGTCAGGGAATAAGACTTACACTTCTTTGAGACCCTCAGGGTTCAGCCTTCACAAAAGTTGGCTGATTGCTGATTCATCTAGTGTTTTACAGAAGGCTTGATAAGTGTGTGTGTTGATATCCAGTAGGTTGACTGAAGTGAGGTGACTAGACTTACAGCTTACATTCTGTAAAATAAGGACACCTAAGCAGTACAACATAGCGGCTTTCAGACTAGCGCCTCTCAGACTTTAGTGTGCACAGGAATCACCTGACTACACGCAGAACTGTCCAGTTCACCCTACTAGAAAGCAGGCACAGAGTAGACAAAAGTATCACAATTAAGCAACTGTCGGGGATGGGGTGGGGGAACTCAACTTGCTGGGATTCAAATCCATCTCCAAACCTCCTTTCTGTTTCTGGTCCTTTTGTTCTCAGGGCAATGAGCTGTAGTAAATACAACAGCTACCATTTACTGAGTACTTATAAAGTGCTTGGCCCTGTTCTTGGTGATTTAAGCATGTTATTTAATTCTCACAGCACCCTATAGTACTAATATTGTTGATGGAAAAAAAAATGTAGCAGTAACTTCCTTACATTTACACAAGAAGAGTAGGGATTTCCTCCTGGTTCACCTGTGTCCAAAGTCTAGAATTGTGGTTCCTTGACACTGGGTAGTGTGGGAGCATTTCAGGGATGACTAAGCTTGAGTTTAGGGTGCCAGTGGCACAAGGAAGATAGAGGTGCACTCAGAAAGCCCTTGGAGAATAAAGCCCTCCACAGGACATTTGTGCCCTTAGTACTCACCTCACTGAGCATTTAAATCCCGGCAAGGCATTGAAGAGCTGGAACTACCTCAGCTAGTACCTGGTGGCCTGCAAGGTACTCAGTACTTTTTAGCAAACTGCTAGTCAGTCTCTGTCTTTTCCCCAGGAAACTTCCAGGAATTTTTCTGCCTGCTACCTAGGAGGATGGCTCCACTCTAGAATTTGGTGTTGATCTAGGTTAATTAAGGCTAGTACTCGGGTCATCTCCTAAGGCCTAAGAGGGTTTCAGGTTGTCTTCTGGGAAAGACACCCAACAACAGTACTGGAATTGGAAAAAATGTAGGAGTTTGCCAGAGGAACATGGAGAAAAAGCCTAAAAAGCCTAAAAGAACAACTTTTGGACACATTTTAATTTTGGCTTGGGGTAAAAGGAGGTCTTTCTTAAGAACCAACCAACCAACTGTGTAAAAACCAACCAACTAGTGAAAGAGGACTAGTTGTCTATGAATTCCTCTTTTGGCATACACCTGTCTTTTCCTGAATGCCAGGACAAAGCAATAGTTTAATTGTTGGTGCTCTTAGAAAAGCTCGTATTGGTAAGGCATCCCAGAAGACCCTATATTACTTAGTAATCTTTTCTGGACATTTTTCCACTGGGCAGATTTTCCATACAGATAACTGTCAGCTTTCAAGAAGGCAGAGATCGCTTTTCATCCTGAAATTGGGTAGGGAAAGGTGGAGAAAAAAATTGTTCAGGTCAATTTAAAAGAAAAAAAAAAGGGAAAACCTCTCCCCCATACTCTTTAGACAACAGGTGGTTTTGACGTGCCTGGTCAACTCCTTCATGCACAGCACGAAACTGTAGGCGGAGCGTTCAATTTCAGCGTCCCTGGAACCTGCGGCTGAGAGATCCAGGCGCCCTGTTGTTAAGGTCCGGGAACTTGGGGGTTCCTGCTGGACAGGAAGCTTAGGTGTCAAGCGACCGGCTCATGGGCTTTATGGTCCAGAAAAACTGGTTTTTGCCTTTGTCCTCTGTCTCCTTCGGTGCGTCCCACCACCCCTTCCCACCGTTCTGTTCTTCTGTGCGGGGAGGATGATAATGAAGAGGGATTATCTCTATCCTGACCCCGGTCCTTCCGAGGAGTTCCCAGAAGGGCTATTTTTAGGGGTAGCTGCTCCCCTCTAACTTACCCAGGGGAGGAGCTGCGGTTGTGGAGCGAACGCCGAGCGCAGGGAAGCCTCGGGTTTTCCGCGGATTGTTAGGGATGGCGGAAGGTATTAGCCCCAGCCGATTCCCCCGGCACTGGCCGCCAGGTGGACGTCATAGAGGCCGCAGTGGCCCCGCCGGGAAGCGGCGGGAGATTTTCTTCCGTGTTCTGAAGGAAGTCCCCTTGGCGGCCGGCCCGGGCTTGGGGTGGTCTCCGCGGGGGAGGAAGTTCCCGGGCCCGGTGGCCTGCGTCACAGCGGGCTGGGACTGCGGAGCCGACCTGTGGGCGGCGCGGCGACCCCGGGGCCGGGCGCTGGGGGGCGCTGGCTGCCGCTGGCCCGGCTGCTTGCAGGGCGGCGCTGGAGGCGGCTCCATTCGCGGCCGGAGGGGCGGAGGGCTGCGAGGCTGGGGCGTTAGCTGCGTCCCGGCTCGGAGCCCGCGAAGAGGACTAGGAGGAAGGCGCCTCCGTGGCCGCAGCCGCAGTACTCTGAGCGCGACGAGCCATGAGCAGCGGCCCCGCGAGCGACCCCGCTGTCGCTGGCCGCCGCTGAGCCCGGCCGGGGGACGGCTCGCCGCTCCCCAGCACCCTTTGCAGACGGCACCCTCTCGCCTAGAGGTAAGGGCGGGGACCGCCGAGGGATGGGATGGAGAGGGACGGCCCGCCGAGGACCGGCGGCTCAGTCCGCTAGGTGCGCTGGGGCCACGACTCGCCCCGCCTCGCTCGCGTCCCTGCCTTTCCCCGGCTCTCGGGAGGGCAGACTGTAGTCTCCTGCCCAGCGTGTGGTCCCTGGAGCCATACGCTGCTGGGGCTCGGGGACCCGCCAACCCCTTCCCCACCCTTCCCCACGCCAGCCCCAGCGTCGGGCGAGAGACCCCAGCCTGGCGCCAAGCGCAGCGCGGCAGGTTCTGCGGACTTGGGGGGATGGGGCCGGGGGACCAGGAGAAAACGGGGCCACGCTGGGAGCGATCGTCGTTCTACCTTAAAAACTCCTGAGACCCCAGGGCCTGCCCCTTCTGGTCTGCTCTTCCCTTGCCGCCCGCGAACCCTGAAGTTAGCACTTTCGGAGAGAGAGAGGAATTAGAAGGTCTCCGAAGGGAACGAGAGCGTGATGTCTGCTCCCCAGTAGGACCCTAGGGGAGAGAGGGTTTCGCCGGATCGCGCGGGCCCCAGAAGCCAGGTGTCTAGGCCGGCGGTCGAGGCCAGGACCGCTGCCTTCGACCCAAACCCAGGCTCGCCGGTCTTGCCCTTTCCAGCTGGTTCTCAACGACGAGATGGTGAGGGATGGAATTAGCAACTCAGCAACCTTAGGATGTGCTCTGTAGACCCTAATTCCTTCTTCTCTCCCTCCGCCAGTTCTTCCCTCCCCCACCCACGCCTGCCGGGGTACATCAGATTCCATTCCCTTCAAAACCTCGCTCTGTACCTAGCTTTGAATGCCACGGACACCTAGCCCACATCCCAGGACGGATATTTCAGAGGGTTAGGGCCAAACTTCACTTTCGAATTCTTTTTAAGCATTTTAAACTCCCAGCAAACCAGTTAGGAAACACTTTCAAGTCCCCATCCACCTTAAAGTAAAAAGTAAGACCCGATCAACCTGTGTGGGAGTGCCGGTGTTGGGCAGAGGGAGACTTGAATGACTATTTCATGCAGCCTTATGGGGGAGGAATAGGTAAAGGAAATGGCAGCCCTATTTTAGTCACACGCTTCTTACAAGCCATCGATAGTGTAAGAAATGTAGCCTTAACCAACGGTCACATTTCCGGACAGGTATGTAGTGGTTCCCTAAGGCATACCTGAGGTTTCTTCATGGACAAGTCATTAAAATGCCATCCAGATGAGAGATGAGGACAAGTGGTCTTAACCCTCTCGGCACAATACTGCAGAATCGTCAGAGCCAATCAGCTTTATGTGTTTTTCTCTCTATTTTTTAATGATTTATGTAAGCCCCAAAGGTAAGCCGAACTTCCCAAAATTTGCTCAGATTCATAAACCATGTGTTGGATGTGTGGACATAGATAACAGATTAGATGTATACAACTCTTATCTGTGATATTTGCATTTCTTGTGACTTGCTTAAATAGGGAAGACCCTGGATGTGACCCTGATTTGCTTTACTTTCGAGTGATTATATACTCTTTAGGTCAGTGTGTTTGTTTGCTTTTGAGGGAGAGGTGGGAAGCAGCTTTGCAAGGATGGATGTTTTTCATGGTTCACATAATAGACTGACCACAGATAAGGCCCACTAACCCAACAACCATATCAGAGATAGCAACCATGTTTAACAACTTTCTTATTAATAAAATTATCAAAGCCTTTGTTAATGGTACTAATCTCTTATTTCTCAGATTGACTAGGCACTTACCTAATGAAGTGTGTGTTTAGAAGGGAATGCTTTTAGTAAAAGTAAAAAGTATGAGGAACTGTAAGAGAAAAGAATGAATAGTTTTCCACTTATAGGAAGTTTATCTTTTAAAAAACTACAAAGTTAGCAATATTTTTAACTTCTAAGGTATCTAATTTTTACCAAATTTTTAATGATTCTTAATAGTCTGTAGTATTTTTAAGTTGTAGTCACCAATGACTTTATAATAAAGCCCAAGTTTAAAAAGAAATAGAGTGGAAACACACACTTATTTTGCCAAGTGTTGTGTTAATAATTTAATATGGAGCACCACTATAATACGGTCTAGTTGCTGTAGGTGTCTGACACATTATCTCAGAATCTGACAACAAACCCTTAAGGTAGATGGCCATTCACATTTCACAGAAGAAAAAGGCTCAGAGTTTGTGACTTACCCAAGACTCTACAGCTAAGTTAATGCTTGAACGAAGCCAAGCCTCTAGTATATTTTTTAAAAGTTTTATGGGGGTATAATTGATTTACAATGTTGTGTTAGTTTCAGGTGTACAGCGAAGTAAATCTGTTATACGAATACGTATATCCAAAGCCTCTAGTCTTAATGATTTACTTTTTTATCCAAAGCTGCCTCTTTTTCTTTTTCCTACATAAATTTTTGTTAACTTACCATAATGACTGTATGAGGAAATGGAGATCAAGGAAGTTTAAGTCACCTGTCCAGGGTTTTCCATGTAACTTGTATACAGCAGAATTCGAATTTGGAATCAGGGCCATCTGTTTCCCAAATCCCTGTTCTTGCCACTGATTTCTATTAAATGACTGATTTAGAGCTTAACCTAATGAACATTTCACTCCTGCTCGTCAGCTCTTCTCATCCACATGATAATGATGGCCTCATGGGCTGCAACACACTCCCAAAGACTTTATACTCAGTCCCTGGAGTGCTGGCTATATCTCTAGCCCCAGAACACTCATGAAAGCATATTGCAACCAATATGTGAGGTGACATCACTATGCACCTCGAATTCACTTAATTTCTCTTAAAATGTAAATCATTCTAGACTGGCATAGGGTAAAGGGCATGGCCTCAAGATAGGAAAAGCTGATACAAATTCTGGCGCTATTGCACAATACAAGTGCCAACTAACTCACATTATTGAGCTTCTCTGAGCCCCAGATTCTTTGTGTGTAATGGGGTTATTAATAAAGCCTACCTAGCTGGGTCACTGTGTAGATTAAATGTAACAATGCATGTGAAGGACAGCTCCTGTCCACCTAGTAGATGCTTAATAAATAGTAGGGGTTACTGTATTCTAGCATGGATCGAAATTTCTGCTTTATTTTACATTTGTGTATTTTACGTGCATATAGCGATTAGTCCATGTTGTCAGTGATTCACTCTTTTGTATAAAGACCTTATCTGGTTTTTAGCATCTTTAACTTTTGTATCATATCCTTTTTTTGTAATCTTGACTTATAAACATTTACTCACCTTATGTAGTTTTTCCTTTGCTCACTCTGCACATTTTTTAGAACATTACTAGCCATATTTCAATGGGATGGAATTTGTATTTTTTGGCAAATGCACTGTCCTGTTTTCTGCCTCTCCTGTGTGGCCTTGAACATCTAGAACATTAATATACTCCCATTTGCTCCCAGCGCTGGCACAGAAGGGCAAGAGGGTAATCTCAGAGCTTTTCTTAAAGTAGATAGTTTGGCAGGTATATTGAAAATTTCCTAAACATATTAAAAGATAGAGAATAACTGAACTCATTTCCAATATCAGGCATGAAACAAAAAATAACTTGGGCTCTTTACTTAGAACTGTAACGCACTGTCACAAGTTCTGGGAGTGAATTTAGGATCCCTTTCTAGTGTTGGATGGGTGTCCTTTTAAAATATTCTATAGTCTGTGAGTGGCGGTTGGTAGAGACATGGTAATATTTAGAAAATGAACAGAGTTAAGAAAAGAAAAGAGGAAATCGGCGAAATTCAAAAAACAATTTTAAGAAAAATGCTGTAAAGCTTAGAAAAACAACTGAAAGTGTTCCAGATGACTGAAGTATTTGGGGTCAAAGGCATCCAGGAGAACTATACGTTCTTTAAAGAACCCTTCTAAGAACTCAGAAGAACCCAAGCTCTGCCCATACTGGAGAGGGGTCGGTTGGAAGAGCAAGGACGAAAATTAGTTTGGCTAAACCCAAACACTGCCCGAAGGCTGGAAGCACGAGAGAGAATAAGGAAGCTCTTAGGGAAGCATTTCTCAATCTTTTGTTCATTACTACCCTCCCTCCAGAGTTTTTTTTTAGATACATTGTAATGCCACAGATACACTGGTATACCCATTTATGTACTGGGGCCTGTTGGCAGGCTACAAACCTGAAGATTCGTTTACCGTGCCCCACAGACCCAATTTTTGACAGGGACAGGATTGCCTCCCTGTTGAGAACACATGGTAGAGCATGATTCTAGATTATGTTTGAAAACCATAAAAGAGCCATATGGAACTAAAAGACATGAAGAACAGTATATACATAATACATTTTTTTCCTTTAAAAAGAAGTATACTTTATTGGCTCTCAAGCTGAAATATGTTTGTAAAAATATGTCTTCCAATTGTCCCAGTTTCATCTTGGCAAAATTATTAAATGCATTAAGTTATCTTCCAAAGCCACCTCTACCTGTGTTGTTTTGTTTCTGGGTGGGAAGCCCTCCCCAAACTTTAAATACTCAGCATCTTTTATTTACTTACTTCTATTATGCCGGGAAGGCTCTGATACTAAACATTCATTCTTGTGACTGGTCAATTACACATGAGTATAAATTAGTTTGTATTTATTAGAGCATTTGCATTTTACAGTAGTTATTTATTATTATGAAGTACTATGTTCTCTATCTAAGAGATTTTAACTCATAACAAGTAGATATTTGGGGGTAGGGGTGGGGCTTCTGAAGTCACTCAGCTTTTTCATGTTCGGTTCCTTGCTTTGGTTCCCTGGGGAGCATGAGCCTGGGCTTTTGATGTGGAACCTCAGAACTGTTAGGGTTAGAGGAGCTGGGCTTCTTTCAACATTTGGAGGCTCTCAGCCTTTGCATGCTCCTTCCCCGACAACAGCTCATCCTCTTCTTCAGCTTTTATTTTAACCATATTGTTCTTTTCCCTCTCCTTTCCCCTCAAACCTCCAGAAACGTCCTTGTTTTTCAACATCTTTTCTCTGTTTGATTTTTGGAGCTGCACTGAAAGTCCCATGGG